CATTTAACTTAAAATAGACTTTTTTTTCTGTTGGGAAAAACAAAATGTATGTATGAAACAAAGAAAAAGGTGCTCCAGCTTTAATAGATTTGTGTTTTCATTTCATCTTTTTGTTATTGGGGGGTAAGAAAGACCGGGAGTTTCAATAGCAGTAAGCCATATCTAACTCTTCACATCCCACAAAAGTCTGTATTTTCAATGTTTCATGCTATTAAATGAATTTGCCTGAATCTAGAATAACATTAGTGGAATTAAAGATTAATAACGGTCATATCTCCTGGGTTATTATGAACATACCATCCTCTGGAGCGTTTTGTCTCACCTCTTGCCTCTCGCTTATTCCTCTCAAACGCTCTTCTTCTCTCTGCGCTTTTCTGTCACTCTTCCACTCTGTTAATTAATTGAAATGAAGTCATCTATCAAGGACTCCCTCTTGCCTCCAATGCCACAACATAAATCACAGCCTCTCTCTGCGCACAAGTGGAAAAGTCTGTCTCTGAGCTTTAATTGTGTGATTGAGAAAGTGTAACATGGCTTAATAAAAGGCCATCGGATTCAAATGGCCGCACCGGAGGGACCATGAGCAGTCTGCTGCGGCCAGACCAGCGCAGCACACAAAAGCCAGCCACTTTAAAACACACACTTATTGTAAAACGCCTCTTATTGGTCTCTGAAGACGTTGTTAACATGTCTCTGCGATGGTTCTGCTGCCAAGAGGGAACCGGATCCATCTTCACGTTTACGGAATTAATATCTATCACAGGCTGATTCCGCCGCAATATTTTTTATAATGGACAAACCAGAAGACGTGTGGTTTTGAATGAAAGGGAAATTCTTTCTTAGGACATAAAGGTCATTCATCAATTACTATAATCTACTTAATTCTTTTTTTTATTCGATTAAAAGAACCCAGCGCTGTACATGTGGGTTGTGGGCACTTTTTGGAATAGAAGTTGTAAATTCTTCTGCTATTGGTTGAATATTTGCATAGATTTGACTGATTCAATCATCCGGATAAATAATATATCTCAATGTTTATAACTAAAAACTGCCTTCTCATTATGTCACATGCATTGTTTGACTGTTATAAAGTTAGCAAAGATAAAGGAAATAACAAAATCAGGATATTCTTATATGATTAAAACAATGGTTCCGATGACCATTTACTTTCAAGAAAATGTAATTAATTAGTTGAATAATATATAATTTGCATATTAATTGAATTTAAGACATTTTAGATGCAACCCAACAAATGAAAGAAACTTATCTTTAAGGGAAACTAAGCATGGTTTGATGGGAAATATCATTAATGTTATAAAATGCGAAACATTTTACATTCAGATGACTTAAATATCCCACTGACGCCACATCATGACTATCTAAACGCACATCTTCTGCAGATTCATTTTTTCCACAACGCACAAAACCACAAATGGACAAAAAGCGTTGTGCTGGTTGTGGCTTCGTTCTTTTCTCTCTCGCTTTTTTTTTTTTCGCTGCAAAGAAGATTATAGTAAAGTCTCATCTTTCGTTTCAGGTCGCTGTCCCTTCCACCGCCGCTGATGCAAACCTGATGCAACAGAACCGCGGTGATGGGCCCAGACACATCTAAATAATGTATAAATGATGCATCTTGTTAGCTCGTCTGCGCAGGTTTGGTCTTCTGCTGCGCCAAATGATCAATGTCCTCCTATTATCCTCATGCGCTCCTTTTTCCAGTTCCATTCCCAATTCTCTCCGCCTCTTCGCCTGCTCTTTCATGTTGCCCTCTGGGAGCCAAGCAAAACATGAGTTTCTACAGCCAGTATACGGAGCTAAAATACCATGTGATCAGTCATGAATTATTTGAACACTATTGATTTGTGTAAATTGTTGCATCTTCCCCGGGGGACACATCCATAAGTAAGAACGCAGTGCTTGTAAGGGGCTGGTAAAACGCGTATATATCTTTGCCTTCTGTGGAATTCACTTGTTTAAAGATGCTAATTAATGAGAAAGGAGCAAATTGCATGGAGATTTTCCAAACATTGTCAAAGGTTTTGTGCGTTTCCCCTGCAAATCTGCTCTACATTTGGGAGCATAATGTCAATTTCGTGCTTTTTGTTTCTTTTTTTCCTGAGTGGAGGCCCCGGTGCCCTGTGGGAAGACAGCAGTTAGAGAGTACACAAGAAAAAATAACAATCCAAAAAAGAAAAAGAAAAAAAAAAACGTATTCCCAAAACATCCCGATTGAGTGTGAGGTAATGTTCAACACATTCTGGTATTTTCATTTTTTTCTCCTCATCCTTTGCCCCGAAAGCCTCATTTGGATGGCAGACGATGCATTTTTGAAAAAAAAAAGCGAGCAGGCTAGTCTCTGTGGACCACTGCAGCGCTGGAGAAAAGGGCCCAAAATGAAGGCACCAGACACAGAGTAACAACGAGAGATCCCAGAGCCCTGAAGACAAGCCAGGGGACTGAGCTAAGCAAACACAATCATTCTCATTAGCACAACTATCAAAAAAGCTCCCCGCACGCATACTTTCTTTTACCACTGGAAGAATTCAATTGGATCACATCTGTACAGCATCGCAGCATCGCACAATCAAATTCAAGTCTATGGCTTTATTGCATTTTGCAGTGGATCTTGGTCCCCACAGTGCTATGCAATGATATTTGAAGATAGTGGAAAAATAAGCTTTTTTCTCATAGAAATTGTATTACAAGCATGCGTATCAGTGCTTTTTTAAAGTTACATTTTCTGAACCACTTATGGGGCCCATAACGTTTAGATTATAACATCTGGCATAATTTTGTTCATATTTCATTTAGTACTTCCATTCTTGAGTTAATGAATTCATAAATCAGAAATTGTTTTTACAGTAAAAAGTTATCTTTAGTACTGGCAGCTGAACAAAACACTAATCTAGGCAAAAGTCCAATAAAGCATAATGTTCATTTATGACCCTTTTTAGAATTTGGAACATGTCTGTGTTCAAACATGAATTTGACCCTTATGTTTGGCCGTGGAGCAGCAAGCCGAGCTGCTCCCCTCCCTCTGCTCTGAGCGAGTATGGGGCAGGGGCATTTAACCACACTGATGTCTTGATAATGTCCCACAGCCTCACACACGGACACCAGGATTCCTCAGCGCTGGACACTGGACACAGCACAATGTTTGCAAGGATGCACAATTTACTCATAATTCATGGGTATTTGTAAAATAATAATACAAAATATGTATGTTAAAGTTATTAATGTATGTTTAATTTAATGTGTTTCATACAATGTAGTAAATACATCCGCAACAAATTATTTGGGTAAAAAAATTCAAAATGAAGGAGCACAGTTGCATGATGTGACAGTCTGCATAATTAATGCATTCTGGGAGGCATTATTTGTGGAACAGGATTGGTAGGCGTGGCATCATTGCGTGCGTAACGAACGCCAAGTCAAAAAAAAAAAGAAAAAAGATTGAGGGCCCTTTAAGATTTTTCCCCCATCAACAATAAGCCAGAGAGAGGAGCAGCATCCCTCCTGCTACTGCTCCTGCATGGGAGAATATGTGAGCAGGGACGCCTCATGGATTTAGTGGAAATCACATAAAATAACATTAAAAGGCATAAAATAATTTATTTACCTTCAATAAAAATATGCGCTATCACTAATATTAAAAATGGCCCAAAACTGGTCCCAAACCCCACGTCATGACTCCAGACGTTTGGAAGCCTCCGATCTTGATAGCTGATATAATTGGATAGAATTTGTAAGCGTCTCGTCGATGCACGCGAGCTCCTGTCTTAAGCGGATTTGTGTCCATTAAATGACAAAAGGAACAGTTCATGGCACAAGGCGCGTCTGTCTAGGGGCGTGCGTGGTGCGCGCATGCGGCAGGGCCTCGTTGATAAATGGAGCGACATCAGAGCGAGTCATTAAAGCGTGAGATATGAGGCGTTGAGCGCGCAGCGGCAGCGGCGGTGGCGGTGGGCCGCTCGGGGCGCACGCAGCACCCAGGGGACAGGCGCACACCGGCCCTCTGTGCTCCGCTTAGCACTCTTCATGATGCTCACTGCAGCAATAACATGTTGTAAATGGAAACGTACCACCCGTGCACTTGATTTACAATCTCCATATAACTATCTGTTTGTGTTGCTTTAGGTCGTCTTTAAGCTTTCCTGCTTTAGGCCATTGTGCATGTTAACCTGAGACAACTAATCAATATGGTACGTTGTATATCTGCTTATTTCCACCTTATGTGTTTTGCTAATTTACCTGTTTAAATATAAACTTTGATGTTGTAACATAACACATATTTTTGTTTACGAATGCAGCTAACACCTATAAGGCAACAGGACAATCCAATGCGTGAGTTACATTTATATTAGAAAAAATGAAATAGCCAACATTTCTAATAGCCTATGGACTTGAAGTGGACTTCAATTAAAATAGCCGTGTTAATTGTTTTGAGGCTAAACCGATTATGATGTGAATAGATTGTTGTCTTATTATTATTTGCTGTATCCTTTGCTTGAAAGCGCAACAACAAAACCCCCAAAAATCTCTGTATATCAGTGGCTCTAATCGCATTAATTACATTTGGGCAGAATTAATTAGAGGTAACAGACACACGGTCTTCTCACAGGAGGAGAGCGCAAGCCTCAGTGGAGGCATTTTAATGACCTCGTAATTCAATTAACCGCCTCCATCAGCTCCATCATTGATTTCTGAGGAACGCAGAAGAAGAAAAAGACTGGTGAAAGTTGAATTCTGCAAAGTCGAGGCGGCCTGTAATTGCACAAGACGCAGAGATAGGAGAAAGCGGAGGGGAGGGGGCTGCGAGGTGGCCGTGTATAAATAGTGTGCTCTCAAATACACAGTCACAACAGCAGGAGTGATCTCACCTCCTCTCCACCCCTTCCATCTTTTCTTTCTCTCCCAAAAAGCAGCAGCTCAGCGCGCAGTACCGCCTGGCACACGCGAACACCGCTCCAGCAGACGCTCACGACTCTCTTTCGCTCTAGAGGTGTTTCCATCCAAGTTCACCGTGGATTTCCCCGTGTACCACAAAGGACCGCTGCGGACAAAAGGTACCGACCGAAGCGCGCCACAAGTCGACGTGTTCGTCATGGAAGAACTTACGGCGTTCGTGTCGAAGTCGTTCGACCAGAAGACCAAGGAGAGCACCAAAGAGAGTATCACGTACAGGGAAGTTTTGGAGAGCGGCTTGACGCGCGCACGGGAGCTGGGCAGTCCGGACTCAAACCTGCAGGACATAACGGACTCCAACCACTGCCCCGTGCATCTGTTCAAGGACCACGTAGAGCTGGAGAAGGACAAGCTCAAGGACTTTAGTGTTTCCAGGGCGAGTGACGGTGAGAGCACAACCATCATGCCTTAAATCACCGCGAGGCTATTTTATTGAAGCTTTTACGCACAGATAACAGTGAACGCTTCATTCATTCTACACATAAAAATACTGCATTAATGATACAAAAATATACATTAATATTGTGTTATTTATCAAAATTCTGGCGTTCAACTTGTTTTGTTTTGTTATATTCAAAAGTGAAACATCCTAATCAAAAGCATTGATAGATAATTGATAGGGTTTTCTTTTAAATAATTATGTGCCAGTATATTTAAGCCTAATATTTATTATAATTTAAAATACCCGTTTAATACCCTGTGTTTTATGCTAAAAACTAAAATATTTTGCAGCCAGGGGGAACCTTCCTTCAGGCTACCTGAATAATGTAACACACACAGAAACAAAAAGATATAGTTCTAGTTTACGGTTAAATGCTGCGTAAATGGTAGTTAACTAATTAGTTATAAATAGGCCATTAGAATGCCCATTGTAAATACTCTGAGAGGCTGTGTGCACAAAGCTAACTAATTAGTTTATTATTAATACAAAAAGAAATAGTAAACCTGTGTGTGTTTTAACATAGCGGCTCTGATGGAACTGTACCATTCCCAAATGTGTTCGCATGCTGCTTTTACAAGCAATTTATTTTATTTTACTTTTTACTCCTGTTATAAGTATATAAACTGCTTTCACATGGCAGTAATTGCGTCAGCTGTCAGTGTGTTACTAAGAATAAACATAGATAAGAGCCCAACATATTCACATCAAAATCCTATAGTAACTATAGCCTGCGGTGGCAGTTGCGTAAATTAAGTGCACTTTGATGTAAAAAGCTAAAAATACATAATGTCTTTCCAGTCCTTTTCTGTAAGCTAAAATAAACCAGCAGCAGAGTAATTATGTCTGCTGTGTTTGTGTGCTTTACACTGCATTTGTAGCATAGCTTTACTTTGACTGATCTGCGGCTCTTATGGCACTGACACCAGCGGCTGTTGTCAAAAGAAGGCCTGAAAGAGCAGTGCAGCCAGTGCATGATGTGTTGTCCCATTACAGGGCCCCGGGCCCCTTCTAAGGGCCCACTACAAACCAGTGGGAACCTGCACAATGCCTCTCTGTGTTTTTGTCTACAACATTTCACGTGTTTAATATTGTGTTTTTACTCATCCTGACAGGGATTTACGAGTGTAAAGAGAAAAAGGAAGACGTAAAATCAGAAGACGAAGATGCACAAGGAAAGCTGAAGCAGCGGCGGAGTCGCACAAACTTCACTCTGGAGCAGCTCAACGAGCTGGAGCGGCTGTTCGACGAGACGCACTACCCGGACGCGTTCATGAGAGAGGAGCTGAGCCAGAGGCTGGGGCTCTCAGAGGCCAGGGTCCAGGTCAGTGCAAACTCACCTTCACAGGGACAGCACTTTACAAACGCACATCATATATTCATGAGAAAAAACCACTCTATCATAACTTCAGCTATTTTTAATGTTGCAATTAGGATACACTCCTAAAACACGCTCGTGGTAAACGTGTTGCGTTCGGTTTGTCTTCCAAAACGAAATACTAATAAGCCTATTGTATATGTCTAATGTCTATTGATACTAATGGTATAAAGATCATCATCATTTCTGACGGAAAGGGCCACTGATCACAGCCATAGCGTGTGGGTGTTTGCTCATGTTGCATTAGGCCTGATTATTGATAAACAGTCTTCATATAGGCCTATAAGTAAAGTTTGACCACTGGCTATTGGAGTTATGGGCCCACACTCCCTCATCAGCACCTCAGGGGCAAGACAGCAGCCGATGATGAAAATGAATGAAGAGCCTGAAAAGCTGCTGGAGGGGACGCGCTCTTATGTCAACTCGTATCCCTTCTCATTCTCTTCGTAATATCTGCCATTGGCTTGATGTACTGTCCCCATAAAAAAGCATTAGAAATAACTCAATTGTGGACCGACTCTGCTGCTGTTCGGCCGTAATAGGATGAATAAAAGCCATCATATTGGCCTTCATGAACGCCGCGGCTGACGCGCTATTGTCAGGGTGCACTTTGGATACGCGCCACACTTATTGAGAACTTGGTTTCGAGCGTGTTCTGGGTTCATTGGTCGCGTTAACAAGTCTGAGCAGAAGTGTTCCGCGTCCCCACAAAGACAGAGCGCAGAGGCGGGTCGGGGGAAGTGTTCCAGTATGTTTTTGTTTTGTTTTATGGTCGCCACTACAGTTATTGTAGCAGTAAAGCACGCACTCGGAGCAGCTGTCAATGAATCTAATTGAAAGTTATGAGAGCTTGGTGAGGAGCAGGCAGTAATTTAGTTAGGACTAATATCACTGAGTTTCTGGCGCACTGCTAAATTAAATGTCATTATTCACTGTCTCCAATAAAAAATCAAAAGGGAAATGAGATTAGGGTATTTGTGAAGCGCATCATTGAGTGGCCCTTAATGAAGAAATAACTGTCTCAACCAGTGTAGTTCACTTTACTTAACATGCAGCCGCGTAATTGGAATTGATCCGAGTCCGGCAATAGAGATCTGATTTATGTGATGGTTACGATGGGCTAAAATCACCTGTCAATAACACGTGTCCAAACAGTGTTTAAACAGTCGTAATAGTGTATTTATTTATCTGATCGGAACCACATAATGAACAATCACATGTTGAGTATGTTAATATGGTATTAACGCTACTAATATGAGCATATTAACAGCACACAATGGCACAATGAAATAATTATGTTAATAATCATAATAATAATAATTATAATAGCGTAAAACATTATAATTTACAATGATAATAATGATAATGATAATAATAATAATAATGGCCTATAATAACATTATTACTAACACTGATGCATTTATTAATAATAGCCTAATAATTTCTTCCCATAGGAGAGTCGCATAAATATGGCATCTCCCATTATTTAAATACACTAAATAATAAAATATAATATAAATATCAACGTTGATATCACATTACATAATTTATTATATATATTATTATTTTTTATAGGCTATATAAAATGGTAGCAGGACTGAATGTTACTTGTTGCAGTCCACTTGATACCTGTGCGTAATGCAAAGAAGGCCTTTATATATGCACTCCCTCACCGTCTCACGTCGGGCGGGGATTTTTGATGTTTTGACAGACAGGATTCTAATTAAACCTCCCACGTGATCATTAACAAAAGTAATGGGACGTTTACGGTCGCTCACTGTTAAATATGAGTCTATGCTTCTCCTGGAGACTCGACAGTATCCCGTCAGCAGCAGCAGCAGCAGCGCTCTTTGTGGCCCCAGTCGCCGCTAATCATTGCAGGGTCGAAGGGGAGGGGAGATAATGTTATTCACCGACGCAAATTAGGTTGATGATGATTAACAATAGGGCCTCGCCTGCAGCAGAGAAGCGCAGGCAGCAAGTTCAAAGACGCGCAACCAACTGCATGGCGCTGGCTGTGAGAAAGGAAAGGCAGAGTGTCGTTGAGAAATCATCCTCCAATTAATGGCAATAATTTCGTTGCTGATTTGATGCTATTATAGCTCTGATTTTCTTATGACTGAATATGTTTTTGCTGCGTATAGGCCTTTACATGTGAGCCTTGATTTTAACGTAACGTCTTGTGATTGGTAATTCACTCCAGTCATATAGAGATGCATACAAATAAAAATTATGTGTGTTTATAAACCTGATAAAAATATAAAAATGGCTCAGCTCATAATAATCCAACTATTTCTATCTGACAAATTACAATAATAACAATAATTGGGATTGGCTCGTCCTTGTTTGTCTAAAATGATTTGTGTTTTGATTTTCAGGTTTGGTTTCAGAACAGAAGAGCAAAATGTCGAAAACAAGAAAACCAAATGCACAAAGGTATGTCACTTCCTTCTTTCTTGCATGTATAAAGTGAGTTTATTATTAGATTAGTCCTTTTTAGGCCTATTTCAGTTTGCAAATTCTGACAGTAGTAGCTTGACCTTTTTTCTTTTTTTTTCTCAAATATGTGTTGAAAATTCTGACCTCCTCATCTCACATAACAACAACTGTCTGGCTGTCTGACAGACATCTTTCCCTTCTCTCCAGGTGTTATTTTGGGCAGTGGCAGTCACCTAGACGCCTGCAGGGTGGCACCTTACGTCAATATGGGTGCCCTTCGGATGCCCTTCCAACAGGTAGGCCATGTTCTTTTACTGCTACAATATGACATGCCTTCTGACACCTAAAACACACAATCCTTGAGATCATTATGGAGCGGATTAGTGCAAATATTACGGTCAAAAATACTCTGGCGAATATGTGGCCTTTGTGAGGAAAACGATAACTCAGCTCCTGCAAAATGTTGGAAACTGTGACAAAAAATAGCATGTGCGAAATGTCAAAATGGAGCTGCTATTTTTACCGTAATCCAAAAGAATATTCCCACTGACCAACATTTGATATGTGTCAAGAAAACCACATTTACAAAAAAATGATGTTATACAAAAGACACAATCAATTCACAGAAAAATTAATTATCTTTTAATGATCTACACGTAACATAATGACATGACTGCAATTGGTCTCAAATTATTAGTAATTACAAACAGAAGTTTCCCATAGGATTTCGGTAGATCCCATATATTGTGGATGAAGCTTTCTTGCCTTATACCATTGCATTGATTTACTTGCTAATTATTTCTTTACCATTTTAGCCTGGTTTTGGAACATATAGTCCTAAACCTGTGAATGAACCAGTGTAAATTTGAAGCGTTTTCCTCACTCTTCCCACCTAATTTGCTGCAGTGTGACTAAGAGATGGACCTCACTATACCTTTCACCTGGTTTGCTCAGAGCGGAATTCAGATGAGGCAGTGCTGTGTGCGTGTGTGTGCGTGTGTGTGTGTGTGTGTGTGTGTGTGTGTGTGTGTGTGTGTGGACAGGAGAGAGGTGGCTGGATATTTGATCTAGTGATATGTGCCTTTTTACATCCTGCATGCAGTGTTGTATGCTTGACCCCTGTGAAAAGCAATGGCCTAATTAAGCCAATGGAGCGGCAGGCACGAGCACATAAAAGGGATGATGAAAGCGCAGAATGGAGTGGGCGCTGATGCATATTGGCATTGAGCTGCTCTGGCAGGGGAGGAGGCTTGCATACAGACACTCTGCACTGGTAGAATGCAATGTTCAAAATATAAGGCGAGTCAATGGGAAAAAAAAATATGGAAAGGGGTTGGTTCTGGGTCTGACTTGCATCTCAATGAGCAAAGTGTTGAAAATGCCCTTTGGTGACCGCCTTTGTCAAACACACTCCAGCAAAGCAATAAATATGCACTACAGCGTGTGTGTGTGAAGATGATATAAAAACATATCTAAACCTCTAATTGTAATTCGGAAAATGTCCACCACCTGTTCAGTTTGAGGCAGATCACTTTCGGCCCAGAGTAAAATTATACCCCAAATCAAGTTTCAAAAAGTTAATTTAGTTTTCCATGCAGTGCAGTTTGTATTTGAAGAACGCATGCGCATGGGGGATGACAGCTGTAGTTAGTTACCTGATTCTCTGCTGGAGGCTTTGGGTTTGAATTCAGGGCTGAACAACAGCAATTTGTGGTTTCTATGTAACTTTTTATTTCACAATTTTTGTTTTTTGTTGTAAAACAAATGCACCTGAAACGATAATATTTAGCAAATGTTAGACCTTGAAAATATTGGGTTTATTTGGCAGTTGGCAATGTCTCTCTATCTGAAGAAAACCAAACCTTTGTGAAGACTGAATATAATTGCCAAGATTGTGAAAACTGATCTTTTTCCAACAGCCCTTTCCACTTGACTCAGGGATATGTCTGAATTAATATTTATAACTCAAAATATTGAATATCTTTGTAGTGTAAAATTGCTTATTTATGCAATTGAATGCATAATCAGAATAACAAGACTGCATATTTTCAAGGGTATAACTTCAGTCGGAATTCAACAGATCTGTAATGGAGCTTAAAAGAATGCAAGCGCTGAAACTGGAAGTGTGAGAAATGTATGATTCATTTTTGGAATGGCTGACAAAAGGGTTGGAGCTGTGAGTGGCTGATCTGTTTTGTGAGAAAACAGAGTGTAGGCTCAGCGCTGAGGGGGCAGAGCGTGAGGCCAGGCTAATAGTGTCACCAGTGAAACTCAAACTGTGTGTGTTTCAGGTCCAGGCCCAGCTGCAGTTGGATGGAGTCACACACTCTCACCCCCACCTGCACCCTCACCTGGCAGCACACGCCCCTTACCTGATGTTCCCACCCCCTCCTTTCGGACTCCCCATCGCCTCTCTGGCTGACTCGGCCTCGGCAGCAGCAGCGGTGGCAGCAGCAGCCAAAAGCAACAGCAAAAACTCCAGTATCGCAGACCTACGACTCAAGGCAAGGAAACACACGGAGGCTTTGGGACTCTGACGGCCGCGGCCCACTCCTCCGCTCGCCTGACGCCCCTCTCACATCAGACTGGCTTTCTCACAGCTAAAACTAAACAAAAACATTGAGTGAGCATGAAAGAGAGGACACAGACACAAGGGGAGAAGGGGGAGGAACAGAGAAGGAAGAAAATAAAAAGGAGGGAGCCAAAATTGTCACAAAACCAGCTGCCAAAACAAACCACTTGTAGAGAACGGTAATGAAATACCAATGAAATCACCTTGTACTTTTTGCCCAACAGGCAGGACTTCTGCGGGGCCAGTGGCTCAGTCCACTCCAGGCACAGCTCACATCCCCTGGACCGTACAAACACATGTGGATGTCTGTCTGAGACCGGCCCACACCTGAAGAACAAAAGCTAACCGGGCCACCATTTTGACAGTGCAGAGGGGTAGAGCATGGGCAAAACAGGTCCTCATACTACCACTTCTCCGAGACACCCCAACTAACTAAAACCGAACCGAAAATTACGTTAAAAAGGCCATATCTTTCTCCAACCACTGTGTTCCCTGCTGCTGCTGAGTGCATGAGCTCTAAAGGAGGACCGCTGGGACTGCCCTCTGTCCCGCCTGACATAAAGCCGTTTTAAACACTGCCATTGCTCTCCGCTCCGCTAAAGCTACAAAGTGAATGCTCTCATTATGGTTTGATTTTCCTCCCGGTGGACTAAAAAGGCAACAACTTTTCTGATGTGTGAGGGCAGAGGGAATGACAGGACTGCTCCTCCCGACATCGCTCTCTGTTAAATGTGTTGTGTCCTGGGTACGAAGTGACGATACCCTTTGCACTCCAGCTCCAGTGTGTGTGTTTAAGATGACACTACATGCAGATACTACTTTACTAAATGAAGGTGGGGCGGGCTTTGATATTGTCATGTGATCCTCAAAAAGGACATTAACTTGGATAAAGGGTTTAAATACATGTTTTCTTTTTCTAATTCTGAGGAATGCATCAGTCAAACTGAAATGCAATGGTGTGCAGTTTTAAGTGCAATATTGTAAATAGCAAAAAGTAAAAACAAAGCAGTTAATCCCTGATGATAAGAACCCAATGATGATCATTATTTTCATGCACTGTTGAGTGGTTTTCTTTGCAAAGCACAGCGAGTGTATATTTTGCTGAAGAAAAGCGATAAACCAGGTGCCAAGCCTCTTTTGAATCCGATTTTTGAACATCAGGTACATTTTGTTGCTTGTTGGGGAAAACCTGAGCACACTTTCGGATGCTGCAGATATTGAGGATGTGAAACATTTTTTGAAATACAATTAGCACTGTAACCCAAGCCAAACCGTTGTTTAGAATATGATCTTGCATGTTATATGTCACATGTCATTTTTGATTTTTTCAATAACTCAAGAGTGTACTTTACTAAATAAATCCAAACCAGAATAAACTCAATTAGACTTGCTTCTGCTGTCCGAGCTGCGCTGATGTGGAAAAAGTCTACCCACTTTAAGCGGTGTCCAAACAACTTCCTCCATCAAGAATTGTTTATATGTCTTCAGTTAAATTAAACATATTGGTGTTTTATTTATTGATTTGTCTGAAAGTTTATAAAAGATGAAATAGTTGAACAACAAGTGTACATTTTCTCATGGCTTTGCGTTGATTTTGATATGTTTTTTACGTGTTGAATTTAAAAGAGGAGGTGTGGCTGTAGTGCATTGTCGGCCTATAATGTAGCGTGTCCACGTTTACAAACATTTCAGGGATGGTTGAATTGAACAATACTCCATGGAATTTGTTGTACCCATTCAAAGTAATGACCATTTCATCTGCAAGCATGCTTAAACATGAACCATTGTATCATTTGTTTTCCCCTTTTGATTCACAAATATGAATGTACATCTTGTACAAGTAAACTATCAATAAAGTTATAAGTATTTGTACATGAGTTTGCCAATATTGACCCAATTTTTAAGTGCAGTTATAGTTTCATTCACACAAAACAGTCGGCCAATTTCTTTTAAAAGCAGGAGTGCACAAATGTCTTTACTTCGCCAGACTGAACATGCAGCAGTGGGATAAGGGCCGTCCCATTCAGGGAGTTTGCTTAAAAAAGAAGTCTGCACAGATTTGTACTATTACATCCTCTGTATTTATTTTTTTAAATTTACTTTAAAAAGGGAAAGATTGTTTTGTCCTCACTTTCATGTCCTAGCAGTCCTCAGTGAAATTTAGTTTCAACATTTTCCAAATATCAGCACCACTTCGGAGGCCAAACCCACGTGAGGTTCTGTGGGTCTGCATTGGGAACCCCTGGTTTTAAGGAATAAGAAAGAGAAGGTTTACTGGAAAAAAAAGTCCATCCATCCCTCCATTTTCTTCCGCTTCCTCCGTTGCTGGGTTGCAGGGGGAGGAGTCTAAACAGAGAGCTTTCCCAGGCCAGCTGAGAGACATAGTCTCTTCAGCGTGTCCTGGGTCTTCCCTGGAGTCTCCTCCCGGTGGGACGTGCCCGGAACACCTCCCCAGGGAGGCATCTGAACAGATGCCCGAGCCACCTCAACTGGTTCCTCTCGGGGTGGAGAAGCAGCGACTCTACTCCGAGCTCCTCCTGTGTGACTGAGCTCACCTCAGTCGTAAGAAAATTATACAATATTAAACTAAACTATTATATAGCGGATGCATCTGTGATCAAAGGAAACAATTTTTTTTATTTTAGTGTATTTAGGTAGAAGCTCACTTTTACGTTATGTAAACTACCACTTCTGAGAACCACAGCTGTGTCTGTTGGTAATGCCAGTACTTCTACTCCTCAGGTATCTACAAATGCAACTTCATACAATCGTGTTTCCCACTACAACATTATGGCCACTACCATGTACCACTAAAACAAAATAAATATGATATTTATCATATACTTGATAGAAAATATCTGCCCTCCTATTTCCACCTCCACTTTTCACACACATGAATGCCTCTACTTTCTGAAGCCGCACATACTAAATCAAAAATCCCAAATTGCCTTTTTTCAGAATATTAACTTCCACAGAAAGCTTAATTCCAGATGTGTGTACAGCAGTAATCACACATGTGGTATAGTGGCCTATTGTCTGGACCCATGCAAAATTAGCCCAAATGGCATCCTGTTGAGTGCAGTTCCCCGAGAAGGTCGAAGCCCGTTTAATTTGTGGCTCTTTGCTCATACATCAAGATTGAGTGATATAGTGGCAGACTGATGGTGACCCTCGGCTGGGGCTGCTGCTGCTGCAGGCCGGTCCTGGAAATAACACCAGCCTTTTATGTGTACTAATAATTAGCACAGCACACTCAGCCATCCATCAAGCCCCAATGAGCCATGCCTGCTTTGTCAACATGTTCAGCCTCATAAAACTATTTACGTTGGCCACAACTTACAACTGCACTCACATGTATTCATATTTGGAGGAGAAGTAAAAGGAAATATGTCTGGATCCATTGTTTTGTATGTCTGCATTCTTGACCTGAGCCTTTGAAACAACTCATAATAGCTGGATTTTTTTTTATTCCAAAATCTCATTCATATAATAGATACCGGCACACACACACTCCTCGAAGGTTTGCATTGGTCCATGTTAAATTATGGCCGTTACTGAACGATCACCTGGTTCCATGGTGCTGTATTTAGTTACATTCATTTAGATAAGATTTTTTTCAACATAACAATTAATCATAAGGTTTAACAAAACACATACAAGTGAGACAAAATGAAATGAACCTGACACAATATAGCACATAGTTAAAATTGATTGAGCATTTTTTGAATAAATGATTGAAACTTTAAAACCACTACAAATGTAATATAATCAAATCCATTATCCAAGGCTGTAAAATTGTTTTGTTCTACCATTAGTTTTCACAGGCATGCATTTTTGGCCTCAAGATCAGATTTTTAAGACAGAAAAGTAAAAAAAAAAAACGACCACCCTTTCAGCCAAAATAGTCAATAAGTGGTTCACAGGGAGTATGCAAAATATAAAATGTATTCTAATAATATGGCATGTGGTTCTCTGATTTGTTCACAACATTTTACTTTTACAACCTTATTTCTGTTGGGAAAAAACGGCATGTGTTATTTACTAAACTAAAAAAGTACAGTAGATCAGGACTTTCCGTTTTATTTCTACAATACATATGTACTTCTGTGGATACTTTGAAAACCCATCTGCGTATATATATACGACTCCGTTCGTCTTATAGCCCTGGGTCTCTGCGTGCCCAGTGGTCTGACTCCGTCTACGCTCCACTGGCCCATATGGGGTCAAGTGCTCCGGTGTCACGTGGAAATACTTTTTATCACATTTCATTCTCATAATCCTCTTTGAGACGTCTATGATCAGCTGGAATGTGCTATGACCCAGCAACGGTCCAGATTGTTGGGTGAATATGAAGCGCTATCCATCAGACGGGAGGCTCTACTTTACACGAAATAACAGTCTATTTGATTGTGGTTTGAAATGCGGACTAAGCTCTGTTCCGGCACTTTAGGTTTGAGCTTGAAGTGAAGCCACCCAGAGAAACCTCAGCTGTGAACAATTGAGCCCAAGTGCTGAAGTCACTATGGCCGCCCTCATCAAAGCGGCTTTCATCCTGGTTTGTTTGGGCAACGATCAGCTCATAAATGTATCAGAGGAAAGAAGTATAAAAAGTTACATGCAGAGACAAGGTCAAAACATTTTGCGCACAAGCAGAACGTTCAAAAAAAGAAAATAACGTTTGCTGTTTATGTTAAGTTAATTATTGTTTTGATTTGGTCTGTGTTTTTGGAGTCCAACTATGGTATCATATCAAAACACAGTTGCCGTTTAATGTCCCGTCAGATTTAGAGTAATGATGGATACTTTGGCCGGGCTTTAGAACACATTTAATCACTCACTTATAACTCAGAATTTTGGTCTAAAACTTATGATCAAAATTCCTGCACACACGCACAACGGAAAAGAAACCCGGTACTTTCATTTTTTTACATAGTAAACTGGTGCATATTTCCTGCTAACTTCATAGTGTATCAGAACCAGCAGAATATTCTATATTTGTGAAAATACTTTAACTTAACAGTACATAAATCCAGTGTTCAAATATCTGTCATACTGGAATCAAAAGATTTATTGTCAAAAGTTGAGGATGTAGGAGGACCTTTGTATAGCACTATTGTGCACCTTTTACAGTGTATTGTAAAGCACATCAGATGGGACAGGATAGAACTTGTACTTACTTACCTCCTTACTCACTTTACCAGAACTCAATCCATATTATGTTAGCAATTATGCATCAGATTTCCTACTGCAGCCACAGGTATCCTGAGGAAGACTAGGAAGGTTGCATGACGAGCTGCGAACAGCATGCGAAAGT